GTTTTGGGTCTTCGTGTGGGTCTTTCGGGGTGTTAGGATTGAGGTATAGGTTGTTATGATTGGGTGAAAAGGGGGGGTGCATGATTAGAAAATGGAAATGGTCATCACTAACTTACTCTACTATAGGTGCCTCAATAATTACCTGTATTATTTTGGGGGTTCCTTATTATAATTATGGTATTATGGCCCCAAAACCCTAGTCTGTTTCTTAAGGCCCCTACACCCTAAACCCTTATAGTGGCCCTTATAGAAGCCTTTAAGGAACCCCTTGAAGGAACCCCAAGACCCTATTCTAATTATTAAGGCCCCTACATTAAGGGTTGTGGGGGGGGGGATATTGTTGCCGTAGGGCTCAGGGACTCTGAGGGCTCACGGCTTCAGGCCTTTAGGGGTTTAGGGTTTAGGGTTCTATATAAGGCTTGTGGACCATGTTGAGCTGTACTGTTAGCTTCAAAAGTTTGGGGGGATTTATGATTTAAGGTTTCTGATTTTCTAGAGATGAGATTCGAGCAGAGCTATGAATCAAGTCCCGGATGATTAGGTTTCGATGTTTCGGGCGGCTATTAGCAGGGAGTCCGTCTGCGTAATGCTTGAGTCCTCCACTCCATGTCGTGAATTGGGGGGTGGATTGGCCGGGGGTCTCGGCAGACCGGACTGGTTCAAGAGCGAAGACACTACTGCCGCCAAGCGTGCCTCGGTGTACTTACACTCCGTGCAGCCACCCATGCCAGTTCATGCAGCCGAGGCTTTTTCAGTCAGCGGCATTGCTTCAGCCTGGTTCTGTTCCATAGTCAGCGCATGCAAGAACATGTACATAACGGTGAAGCCTCCTAAACCCTAAACCCTAAACCCTAAACAGGGTGAAGCTTTTGCATGCCCATGCAGGGGCGTTCGTTTCGAAAGCGCTCGCTACACCTGCGAGGACAGGCTCGTCGACTGCGAATCGAACCTAGGATGCTATGGCGACAGCTCTCATCAACTGCGAAGACGGAGCGTCGACCCTAAACCCTAAACCCTAAACCGTCAAACATGTCGGCGAATCCAAACTGGGATGCTGTGCGAGATTTCTTGGCGCCACAGCCATTGTCTTGGCATGATGTCATGGAGCGTCTTCCAGAACCCTTTAACGGACCTTCAAAGGACCCCCAACACCCTACAGCGAAGCCCAGAAAGTTGGAACAGGGATTTAGGATGATGAGTGCTACGATCCCTTATAGAGTACCTTTAGGGTACCAGGATAATGATGTTCCAACCTTTCTGGCTTCTACTGTATAAGAACCCTAAACCCTAAACCCTGAAACCCTAAAACCCCAAACCCCTACAACCCTAAACCCTAAAACCCTAAACCCTCAACCCTCAAACCCTAAACCCCCGAAACCCGAAACCCCAAACCCTAAACCCTAAACCCTAAACCCTAAACCCTAAACCCTAACTGCGGCAAGACCCGGCCCCCTCCGGAGGCGAGTGGAGTTGGCACGTCGACTCAGGGAGCCCAAGAGGGTGATACTCCTGGATGCCCCTTGGCAACGGTGTTTGGGGTTTAGGTTTAGGGTTTTAGGGTTTAGGGTTTAGGGTTTAGGGTTTAGGGTATAGGGTTTAGGGATTTAGGGTTCAGGGTTTTGGGTTTAGGGTTTAGGGTTTGGCAACGGTTTTTGGGGTTTCATGCGGTTTAGGGTTTGGAGATGTTTCGGGGTTGATGGGGCTTGAAGCGGCAGTGTAGGGAGCGACGAACTTGGCAACGGTTGGTTGGGTTTAGGGTTTAGGGTTTAGGGTTTTAGGGTTTAGGGTTTGGGGTTGTTTAGGGTTTAGGGTTTGCTGGGGTTGAAAGCGGCGGTTTAGGGAGTTACGGACCTTGTTTCAGGGTTTATTAGGGTCAAGAGCTTAGGGTGTAGGGACAATTTAGAATTTAAGGTTTAGCAACTTGGCCCCATCGAGGTAGATTGGTAGACTGGCAGCTAGCTAGGTAATGTAGATAGGTACAGATAATTCGTTAGCTAACGTAGATAGGTAAATAGCTAGCTAGATACATGCACAGAAAGGTAGAGAGATACATAGATAGATAGATGGATAGGGGCATCGATACTTAGATACAATGGAGTGCTTATGAGCCAATGGCCCCTATGGCTCAAAGCTCAGGAAGTCACATCAGAGCTGGACATGCTTGTTCGGAAGTCGCTTCTGGACTTCCTTGTCCCTGGGCGCTTGTTTTTTGAAGACGAGGGGGGCAGAGCTTTGGCTTTAGAATACGGTTTTGGTTGCGGCTTGCGGCTGCAGTTTTACAAGCGCTTGGGGATGGGGCCGGCGAGAGGACGATGGCTTCGATTTCGGGGTTTCGGATTTTGAGGTGTGGCCATAGACGACACCCATATCCGGGTTCGGGTCCCGAATAGAGAGAAAGCTCTAGAAGCAGCTCAAGAGACGTATAAAACTATCCAGAAGGGCAAGTTTTTAGTTGTTGTTTGAGGTTTTGGCTCATTTATTTCGGGTTTTGGGCATTACCATTATGGTTTTCAGTATCAGGTCAGGAGGGAGTCAGCTGATAAAAGACTGAGCAAACAGAACCCGGCCGAGGGTTAACCTAAGCAGTCCTGAACCCCAAACCCGTGCTTGTTGAGACTTTGTTTGTTCGTGCCGGAAGTGGTACAGTCTTCGCATTGAGCTCAAGCCGGCAGGAAATGCAAACTTCATTTTGCGAAAGAGCTTCACCGATATGAATTCGTGTTGTCGCTGACTCTTGTATACAATCTGCTATGCAACAAGCCTGTGCACCGAAGCATCTTCCGCTTACATGTGTGGCCTGTGTATATTATCCTTTACCATTGACTTAGTCTACAGCCCCACTCTAACTCTGTCTGGCCTTGTGTTGCCAAGGCCGAGACGGGAAGCACGGTCTTCAACGTCACGCATGTCTTCGAAGGCAGGTGCCTGACATTCCCAAAGGGTCCAAGTACTAGTAGAGTATATACTTTGGGGGCCCAAATAAGTTACTAAGTACCTACTATAATGGCACTTGGACCCTTTGGGATTTCGGGTGTTTTGACCGAGAGTTTGCATGTGTAGCGCCACGAGGTCCCATATTACCTGACGAAGCCTCAACTATGCGGGGCAAGGATCATGCAATTGTATAGGACGTTATCCCCCAGCAGCAACGAGCTTCTCGGCGATGTGCCAGTGAAGCTGTGGAGGTTGAGTTGTACAAATCTCAACCCTGCACTCCTCCCGCAGATAAGTTTCCTGCCCCCCTGTCCTGGAGGTATCAAGCCAGACCGTGCGAATCATGAGCATCATGATTCTCACGGTCTGGTTTGATACCTCCAGGACGGGGGACGGGGGACAGTATACTCAGCGATTCTTCCAATCTTGTGGGCCTGAAAGCAAGGGGTGATTACACTGCAAAGACGTGCGAAGCTAAGTCGAAGGTCATGCAACCCGAGGACACTGCAGGCCTTGACTAAGCACTTCAATCAGAAGGCCTAAACCCTAAACCCTAACCCTTAAACCCCAAACCCTAAACCCTAAACCGAAGCATGGCATTTTTGTGTGAAGCTATGTGGTGTGTTTCAACCCGTACAGAAGCGAAGCTGTTCTTGGCGAGGAGGAGGTTCCCCGGAGGATCCTCTGCACTTCTAGTGGGGGGGGGACCTTTCCCAAAGCAAAACAGTCATGCCAAATATAGCAACCCAGTTTCTATCATGCAGGCGCTTAGGACCCTTTGGGTTCAGGCCCCGGTGTTACAGTTGCCCTTTCTCCTGCAACGTTACACAACTCTCTGTACATCAATCGCACACCCCGCCTAAATGAGACGAGACATATCACAAGCACAGAAACTCCTAAACCCTAAACCTTAAACCCTTAAGCAATGATAAAGGCCATGGAGTCTCAACAACCGCAGGCCCCGAAACTTGAAATCTTCTACCCCCCCCCCATTCCTTAAGCCTTCAACCCTAGACACTCATCCTCGACCTTAATCCACACACCCAACC